TGCGCCACCCAGGCGCCCCATAGCCTCCATTCGTTTTATGGTGTGTCTGCTCTTCGTCCGTCCGTCCGTCCCGTTTTTGGATGCACGTTCCAGAGAAAGTTCCGGGCACCGGCAGGCACGGTCCTGAATGTTGCAACGTGTGTCTCAGCAGCTAGGATTTCGTGTGTCTTTACAGACTTTTTTCCTTTTGAGATAAAATTTACGTGTAATAAAAAGCACAGATCTTAGTTGTGTCATTGGATGGGTTTTGACAAATGGATATGCCCTTGTTACCCAAACTCCTGTCAGAATTCGGGCCACCGTGTCACCTTGGAAGGGTCCCCGTGCTCCTCTCCAGTCAGCACCCCCACCCCGGGACCCAGTGTGTTGTTTGCACTGCAGGCTAGGTTGTCAGTTCTAGAATTTTCACAAACAGGGGATGCTGTGTGTGTGTGCGCTCTTGTCCACGGGAGGGGTGGGGGGGGGTCCCCGTGTGTGTGCATGCTCTTGTCCACGACGGTCCCCTGTGGACATGCTCTCGTGTGCTCTTGTCCACGGGGGATCCCATGTACCACGAGTATATTTATGGATAGTTTGTGCTCACGTAAGTTTTTACTTCTCTTGGATAAACACATGAGCCGACTGGCCAGGTGATGGGGCTGGGTATGTGTTTAACTTTGTAAAAAACTGCCGAGTCTTTCCCTGAGGCGCCGTCCTGTGTTGCATGTTTGCGGTCTTTAATTGTAGCCGCTCTAACGGACACACGCTGATGTCCCATTGTGGCTTCAATTTCACGGATCCTTGACGAATAGTGATTCCTGTTGGTATTAGCTACTGGTATATCTTCTTTCGCGAGGTGTCCAGATGTTTTGTGCGTTTAAAAATTGTTTTGTCTTGCTTCCCCTTCCCCGGCAGCCACGAGTCTCCACAGACGTGGCAGACATCTCCTGTGTTTTGCTCACCTGTGTATTTTCTCAAACGTATTTCTTTATAGGCAAATATCTTTAATTTTGAAAAGCCTAACATAGGTTTTTTCTCGTATAGATTTTCCGTTTCTGATCTAGGAAATCTTTGCCTGTTCCCAAGTTGAGAAGAGAGCCTCGTTTCCTTCTAGAAGCCGTGCGGTTTTAGCTCGTGTGTGTAGGTCGGCGGTTTGCCCTGAAGCAAAGTGCCTGTGACGTGTGCAGAGGGGAAGGTCCCTTTGTTCTCGTGCCGGTCGCTGGGAAGGCGTCCGCTCTTCTGTTCACCTCTGAGAATCATGCTTACGCGCGTTTCGTAGCAGTGGCTGTCCCCCTCTTGGATGCGGGGAAGCGCTGTCGCACGGGCAGCGAACGCCGCGTGTCGGGGTGGGAGGCTCGCTGCCGAGCCGAGTCCCTGCAGCTTCCGAAACGGGAGCCCGGGGGCGTCAGCCTGGACCGAGCGTGTGGCATGTCGAGTTTTGGCAGAAAGACGAGCTGTCCCAACATGGTGCTGACTTGGTCCTTTTGCGTTGTCTGTGACTGTCCAGGCTTGGCTCTCTGCTTGTGGCAGTGCCTGCCCTCCAAACCCCCGTCACCGTCCCAGGGCAGGGGACAGGGGACGCTCGGGAAGTGGGGGTCATGCGACCCCACCCGTGCTCCCTCACCTGCGAGCCGATCTCCTCTTCCGGCTGAGCCGCGGATTCTTGGGGCCAGAGTTTATCCTCCTCCCTGTGCGTCCTGCCACGCACGCCTAGCGCGGGCCTCGCAGGGGGACCTCCCAGCCACCGCTTATTAGCGAGTCCGCCGTGTGGAAGCAGAAGAGGCACAGGAGGGGCAGGGGTCGCCCCGTGGTTGGGCCCCTGGCCCCGAAGTGGGACTGCCTCGTGCAGAAGCCCGGCTTATCAAGGGCTCCGTGTTCCTTTCTCGGGGACACTTTAAATCACCAGTCACGTTGACGACCGCATGGCTTCCAGTGCGCTCTGTGGGACCCTGAGAGCCGAGATCAGGGTCTGGATGCTTGCATCCCAGTGAGAATCCTGTTTCTGGTCAGTCTGGCGCTGTGCTCAGTTGCACCACAAAACCAAATTTAGAGCTGGCTTTTGCAGAGTGCGGTGTCTACTCCCGTATCTTCTCTCTTCGGTGTGTGAAAAATCGAAAACCGTTTTTAGTCGTATGTTTACAGAAACCGACTGATGTGGGAATCGCAGGCACATTCGTGTGGATCGGGGGAAGTGGTTGGACTCACGGACGCTCCTTGCCTGAGGACACATTCTCTTCTGTGCCTGGAGTGCACTTGATTCGTTTGAGTTTATAAATAACCCACCGCTCACGGGAGCCGCCAAGCCCGCAGTGCAGTTGGGCTCGCACGCTCACCGTCGTCGTGCAGGTTTCTGCCAGCGAAAGACTCATCCCGGGGACGAGTCAGGGTTGAGATGTAACTGCTTTTTTCCCTCCCCCATAATGAAACCCTTTAAAGGTTAAAAAACGACCCCAACCCCTTCAGACTCCTCGAACAGGTGGCCGGACCTAATCAGCGCCCGCAGAGCCTGGCACCCACCATTTCCCGGAGTGTCCTCAGAGGTCACGGATGCTTCCAGAAGAGCTCATGGTTT